CAACATCCCGCGGGACACTGGCAACTGATTAGCGACGTGCGAATCGAAAATCACTTGAATAATCGATATTTTTTTAAATAAATGTAATGAAAAACTAAAACACGGACTATAAAAAAATAAGAGGAAGCCCAAATAGGGCGGAGCAGGCGAGTCAGAATTAGTGAAAACAGATCGTAATTGACTGTTAGTCACAGGCTCAAATTGTTGCGAGCTGACGGATCGCTGTTTAAGTGATATATGCGAAAATATGCCGTTTTGGGCAATATTAGAGTGTAAAAACGAAAGTAAAAAGAAAAATATTTTGAAAAATTACACGTGCCTGTGGTACGAAACACTGGAGGTGTTTCGTACCACAGGCACGTGTTTAGAACGAAGTGTTTAGAACGAAAATAATCATTTTGTTTCGAGCGCCAATTCACAATTTTTGTGCTTTTTACTCATAATTTTAGTCTAGGTTCAGTTGGAAACCTGTTAATTAATAAACATTTGATAATTATCTGTTGTCGGTGAATTTGGCTGTTAACAGATATGGGTAGAAAAGAACATCGATAAGTATTATAGACAAGGCACTCGACCATCAAAATTCAGTAATATAAAGCCAAACATGTTGGTAATTACGATATTAAGATTAGTAACAAATTTTTAAGTACATATATTATCCAATAGTTTTAATTTGTTTAACATTAGCTGAAAATTCACTTACTTTATGGAATGTTATCCCACTTTCCTTTTGGTAGCGAGTTTTGCATATTACGCACACTTTCATTATTACTAAAAATAATTTTTATTATGTAACTAAAATCAAACATAATCAAACCACATAAAGTACTTTCATTTTTAGTTTAAAAGTTCAAAATACAGAGATAAGATTTAAATAACACAACAGACGTTGGCATATTATGTCAATTTTAGTTCCCGGTACGGACAATGAGGGTGTTTCAAATCGACATAAGCATTTTGTATGGTATAGCAAGTCCAGCGTACTTGTATATATAGAGGTCAGTGACAGATAGGCAGCAATACCAGGAGGGAGTTAGACCATAATTTATCAGAAAAACTTGAAGATCTTTATTGATACCTATTGCGGCCGCCATCTTGGATTTAAATTTCGACCCTATCGGTTTCAACACCCTCGAAAACCATGAAAATGTCACCCATTACAAAAAATTGATACTACGTACTTTTAGTACGTACTACTATTATTTATTCTGTGCTTTTAAAATATTGTAATAAAAAAATCTCTCATTATTATTATAATCAAGTATTTAAGATATTTGGTTATTCGAATATTGTGTATTTGTACAGCGATCTTTTCGAGCCGCTGCAAACAACCGAAACAATGTCCACTCACGACGGCGACTGACGCCGAACTGAGTGAGTGAGTAAAGTACTCTGTGGCTGTAGCTTAGAGTGCGGCTTCCGCCTATTTATAGAAATAATTTACATACAAGGCTACCAAATCAACTAAAATTTCGCCATTTTGAAGTCGAAAAAAATTAATTATAGCTAAACAAAACAAAATTACACAGCCATTTACATTCAGTGGCTTCCCACATGATAGATGAAGAGATTAAAAAATAGATTGAGTTAAACAATGGATATTTTCAAAAGTTATAGTGTTTACAAGCCTTGCGGACTTGATAAATCCACACCATAAGCCACTAAAACCCCTTTTTTTATTTAAAAATAGCAATTAATCGATTTAAAAAAAATATTAATAAGTTCAACAATCATTTATAGTCTGGCAGTAACTGTAGACGCGCATCGTTACTTAATCCAAGAAACTGAGGACAAGTGCTTAACTTATGGTCACCCTTACATTTAGGATACAGTTTGGCGGAAAATGCCGAACCGTTTTTATTACCGGTATCCCGAACTGAAACCATTGCCTTAACTTTTGGAGCATATTTTATAGAAGAATTTAAACGGTTAGTAAGCAGCAGAATGAGACATTTCTAGTGTTTCGATTAAATCAGCTCGATTTTTTAAAAACATCAAAAATATATCGAACGTAATAGGTGTATCTTTCTCCAAATGACCTTTAGACTTTTCCCATTCACGATATGTCTTAGCATCTAATTTTTGAGTAATAATATGAGTAGTGTGTCCCATTGTTTAGTTGACTCACCGAGAGATTCTAGTGCACGTAAATTTTTATTTATTTGGTCAATGAGACGTTTTAAGTTGACAGACAATTCTTTATTAATTGGTGCTATATTGAATAAGGCTGTCACGTGATTTTGAATTAGTAGTCTTTTATTATCATATCTATCACATAATATAGTCCATGCGACGGTGTAATTAGCTGCCGAGAATTCGATTGACTGTATTACCACAGTAGCGGGCCCTTCCAACGACGCTCTCAGATAGTGAAATTTATTTATGTCATCTATCTCGTCATTTGAATATATGAGGCTCATGAACGTGTCATGAAACTAACCAATTATCATAAGAACCATTAAATTTTAGGTAACAATGTGCTTTTTATATCATTTATATGTATGATATGATTGCTAGATACGATTTTATTCGATAAAACGTTGGAATCTTAATTTTAAGGCGATAGTAGAACATACCTTGCGCTTTCGCTTAAGACATGCAAAACAGGCCTTTATTGATTTGTTCACCATGCCAGCGTATCAGTAGCATCCTTTCAGAAAGAATGGACAAGTGTGTGAAAAAATATGAATGAGTAAGAGTAAGCCCAGAACCTGCTATAGCTTTCTTAAATATTACAAGTGGTAAAATTTATATTTTTGTACAACCGACTTCAATATAAATAATTTATTGATGATTTTTTTAAAACCGCTGGACCGATTTCGATAAAATTTTAACGAGACCACCTGGGAAGTACACCCCTTGAAACAAAAAAGATTTTTCCAAATCAGTTCAGGCGCTTTCGAGTAATCGGTGAACATAAAAAATAGATTCCTACGAATTGAGAACCTCCACCTTTTTTAAAGTCGGTTGAAATGAATATTCGACCCACGTAAGATGAGATTTCCTACACCGTGAAATTAGCCTACTAAGCATTGTAGGAAAACTGTATAGGAAGGTGTTTTTACAGCCGGATTAAGAAAGGGGGAATGGGATGTACGAATCAGGAATTTTCTATCTATGCACATGAGAGCAGAGAAATTTTTGACAAAAACAAGTTTTCTGTGCTTTACAAAATTATAAAAACAGAATATACTAAGTAAAACGCTGACTACGTTTGGATTGAACGGTGCACTAGATTGCCATATTTTTTTGCAATGCCTTTATTTAGAGACTCGATTTAGAAACTGCTTGTGTCAGGAACAACGAGCCCTGCACAGAATAGTTTGGCGTCCATCAAGTTGATAACTTGGGTTATATAGCTTCCCGGTTACTGTTTAATAAGTTTATGGAGTTAGAAGAGGTTAAGAATGATAAGTGATAAGAATGAGTGAATAAGCTATCAAATGCCTCTTTTACGCTGATGGTTAAATCAGCAGCATTTTGTACGTGTTAGAGCCATGCTGCAGCTATATTAATAGTATAGTTGTAGCACGAATGGGTCGCCTCGACTGGGGAAGGACCACGTTCTCACAGAATACCAGCGTAAAATAGCAGCTTAATGCTGCTGTGTTTCGTATGGTGAGTGTAGAGAACCGGAGACCCTTTTTACTGGGAAAGAGACATTCTATCTTAATCCTCACGGGTGACAACGCATCTGCATTTTAATTCGCAAACGAAGATAGATGTAGATGTCTATGGGTCACAGCAACCACTTACCATCAGGTGGACTGTGTGCTCGTTTGTCACCCTTATTCAATAAATAAAAATTACGCAGTATTTGTGCGAATAGCAAATCATAGTCACGTTAATGCACATAAGACTTTAAAAAACTATTTTATTGTAAGTAAAAACATCTGTATTTATATTTTTCTTAACTTTAATTTAATCTTTGGTTTTCGAAACTCAAAGCTAGCAGTTCTAGGACGTGATTTTCGAGATCAGTTTATTTACAGCAATTTTCTCCGCGGCAAGAAAACCCACATCAATGAACACCTAAAATTGTTATTTCTTTAAACTTTAATAACTTTAACTAAATGAAGATATATTATAGATATTTTTCTTTTTAGATAAAGGTCAAGGGTCTATGAAATATAATTTAAAATTAAAAATTTTGTGCAACCGACTTCAATATAAATTATTAAAAATAACTCAAAAACTATTAGTCACACCTTGATCAAATTTATATGGGACCACATGAGAAGCACCAGCTTTCAAATAAAAAACTAATCATCGAAATCGGTTTACATATCATCTTTAATTTATGTTAAAATAAATTTGCATTTATAGTTAGTAATACTAACTTAGTATATAGTTACTTTAATCGACTTCAAAAAAAGGAGGTGCTCAATTTGACTGTACTTTTTTATGTGTGAATTAAAAAGTCGAAGAAAATTAAAAATTTTGTACAATCGACATCAATATAAATAAAGTGAGAACATAATCAATGTAGTCGAAGTCAATTAAATACGCATTATTAATGATAACTTAAAAACTACTGGTCAGAGCTTGATCAAATTTATATGTGAACACATGAGATGTACCAGCTTTCAAATAAAAAAAATCAAATCATTAAAATATGTCCATCTAGAAAAAAGTTCTGAGGTAACACATAAAAAAATACAGTCGAATTGAGAACCTCCTCCTTTTTTGAAGTCGGTTAGAAAGAATAAGGAAAGAGTGACGTGATGTATGCGTAGATATATTGATTGCATGGATGTAAGGAAGCGAGAGTTGTGTCAGGATCGTGCTAAATAGAAGTCCGTAGTCTCTGCCTTTCCCTCTGGGTGACAGGCGTGAGAGTTATATAACACATAATAAGCCACAAAAATCAAATTCTTGATTCGTGCTGGATTCAAACCCGTGGTTCTCCGCACTGAGCTACTGAGCCATCGCTTAGTAGATTCTACATGCTGATTTAGAAGATGTACGAGCTCCGCTTAAGTATACTGCAAAATAAGCACCTGTAGAAACTTCTGTTGAGCTAACTCTTGTTGTTGAGCAACTTGCTGTAACTCGGTTTTTTGCTGCTGCTGCTGTTGTTGTTGTTGTTGCTGCTGCTGTTGTTGCTGATGCTGTTGTTGTTGTTGTTGTTGCTGCTGCTGCTGCTGTTGCTGATGTTGTTGTTGATACTGTTTCTGTAACTAAATTTAAATGTAAATCAGAAAAACATTTTTGCAGAAGCTGGAACTTAAAATGTTGATATTATATGCTATTGGTACATAGTTTAAATTCTTACACATTAACGCTAGTTTGGATATTTCACTTTCGGGACATAGCAAGGAGATGTAAATACCGCCATTAATCCACATCATAATTATTACCGCCATTCACAAGTCCACTGCTGAACTTAGGCCTTCCCTAAGGAATGCCACAAAGCACGGTCCTGAGACACCTGCATCCATCTACTTCCTGCATGTCTTACCAGGTCATCACTCCGTCTATTCGGGGAGTCGCCCTACACTTCGCCTACCGGTACGAGGCTGCCACTCGAGAACCTTTCTTCCCCAACGGTTGTCGGTTCTTTGAGCTATATGGCCGGCCCATTGCCACTTCAGCTAACTACTTCGTTGGGCTATGTCAGTTACTCTGGTTCTATTGCGGATATCCTCATTTCTAAGTTTATCACGCAGAGAAACTCCGAGCATAGCCCCCTCCATATCTCGCTAAGCGACCTTTAGCGTCCTCATACGGCCAGCAGTGAAGGACCACGTCTCAGATCCATAAGCCATCACACGCAATAGTTGTACAATCTCGTTTTTAAGTTTTGAAGTATACCTCAAGTAAGATGATGTGTCGTAATTTCCCGAACGCATGAATTTGAACGAGTTGAATCCGTCGATTGACCTCTCGGTCGAAGTTGGACTTACCTAGTCGGACTATTTGTCCCAGGTAAACATACACGTCAATAACTTCGAGCTTAGTGCTCCCAACAACTACCGGCATAAGTGTGACATGGACGTTAAACATGATCTTTGTTTTGTCCATGTTCATCTTAAGACATATCCGTTAGGAGGCACTATTAAGGTCATTGAGCATAGTGCTTAGGTCCTGCAGCGATTCTGCCATAGGGACTACCTCGTCGGCAAATCGAAGGTGAGTGATGTACTCGCCATTGATGTTAATACCGTATCCTTTCCTTAGCTTGAAAACGCTTACCAATGCAGCGGTGAAGTTTTGGGGATGTAACGTCACCCTGTCTTACACCTCTGCAGTTGGATAGGTTTCGCACTCTGGTTCTGTACTCGGATAGCCATTGTAGCCCTACTGTACAAACACTTCAGCACTTCGATATACCGACAGTCAACTTGGCACCGCTGAAGGAACTGTAGCACCGCTCGAAATTCGACGAAATCAAAGGCTTTCTCATAGTCCACATACGCAATGCAAAGTAATTACCATTTGGATGAGACCGTCGTTTACAGTTTATTACGTACTATACACACGTCTGCAGGTCATTAGTCACATCTAAGTTATTGAGAAATAGTTTCTCGTTTTATTTATTACGTGGTAGAACCATGCTGCAGCTATATTAGTAGTATAGTTGTAGCAAGAAATGGGTGGGCTCGACCGGGAAAGGACGACGCTCTCATAGAATAGCAGTTTAAATTAGCAGCTTAACGCTATTGTGTTTCGTATGATGAGTGTAGATAATCGGAGACACTTTTTACTATAAATGAGGCATTCCATCTTAGTCCTCACTGATGACAACGCATCTGCATTTTGATTCGTAATCGAGGATAGATGTAGATGTCTATGGGTTTCAGCAACCACTTACCATTAGATGGACTGTGTAGGTACTCGGTTGTCATCCTTATCCTATTTAAAATGATATATACAAATAAAGAGGAACGCAAAAGAAAAGGTTTAATTTCTCCAGTTGTAATTATTGTGTGTACTGGCCTCAAACATTAGGAAGCGCTATTAAAATAGGAAGTTTTGGATTTTTTCTTGAACTTCATTTGTATTTACGTAATATATTGTTCTTTCATAATACGAAAAATTTTGCCAACTTTTGAATTTGAGTTTATATTTAGGATTTGTTTAAATTTTTGCCTTGACTGCCTAAGGCTACGGTCTCGTAAGCGTATCAAAGAGACCACAACAGTATATTTCTATAGTAAGCATCGTAACGCGGCGTACGGCGTGACGCTGTAAGCAGCCGAAGGCGTTTATAGGAGACCACCGCCTTATTTATCGTTTTAGTGTAAATTGCTACTACAAATAAACTGAGAATGCCAGATCTAAAAGCCACTTAAGTTGCTAGGGCTATTACTTTAATTGAAACTGGGCACACCTACAAATATGTGACCCAAACATTTGGAATATCAAAATCTGTAGTACACCAAGTTGTCGAGGAGTATCGGCAGACCGGACAGTATAGTACGCTCGCAGGACTGGGACGTAAAAGGAAAAGTACAGCCAGAGGTGACCCGTTCATCGTTACCAGCGTGCTTAGAAACCGGACCTTAAGTTCTTTTGAGGTAAGAACGAAGCTCTAAGAAGTTCGAAGGATTAGAGTAAGCACAATAAATGTGAGAAAAAGGCCAAAATCGGCCGGAATAAATTCACACTTGCCTGCCTCTTCTTGCCACATGCCATCAAGTTGTTCGAGTTAATTTTGCTCGCAATCACGAAAATTGGAATGATGAAACATGGAGTCAAGTTCTAATCAGAAATGAGTCCAGATTTTGCCTAAATGAATTTGCCTAAATGATGATGAAAGGATTAAAGCGTAGAGATGCCCGGGAGAGAGGTACGCTCAGTGCAACATCATTGGAAAAGAGGCATATGATGGCGGGTCAGTTGTGGTATGGGGGCGCACTTGTATGGGGGCACGTACGGAACTTCACGTCATTGAGGATGGGTCACTAACGGCGGTACGATAAGTTACTAAGATTTTGGAAGAAATTGTAGTGCCATTTGCCCCTTTTATAGGAGATAGATTTATTTTATGCATGATAATGCATAAAATACATACTGCTACTGCTGCCGTACTTATCGAATACCTTAACCCTTCAACAAGTTGAAATCAATGCTGGCTCTAGATTACCCAGCTTAAATATGAAATCTGAATGCCGTAAATTAACAAAGATAATATTTATTTATATACGATAGGTACGTATAACAGTGTAACCAGAAAGGTAAGTACCAATTTTAACTAAAAATTATTGACTTACTGAAATTCTTATATGAGGGCTAATAATGTTTTACGCTCGCTAGATGTTGCTATTTGGGTCTAAAATAAGCTTATTTATTACGCAGAAGTGTTTTAAATTTAAAAAAAAATCGGTTTCGAGTGTCCGTATATATGTTACCGCTAAAAGCCGAAGTGCGGTTACGGCCAGCATAAGTTGCGTGTACTGTTAAATTGTACTTTTACTGTGTAAGTGTACTCCTAAATTTAACCAACTACTGCTGGCCGCAACTTATGCTGGCTGTAACCGTACTTCGGCTTTTAGCCGTAACATATATACATACTCGAAACCGATTTTATTTAATTTAAAACACATCTGCGTAATGCTGCGACCACAGTAACGGGAAACGGCAATGCCCATAAACGCAACAATTATTGCTTTAATTTTAACGCGATAATTTCAATTTCTTTGAACGGCGTAAAAGTTGGCGTTAATGTTCCTTGAATTTCAAGCAAGAGGACGTTGACGCTGCTACTCTATATTTGATGAGTGTAAATTTTTATTATACGAATATATTTTAACATTGCCAAACGAAGAAAAAAAGAATACAATTCTATAATAACCGACTAGGCTTTCCTTCTTTTTTTTAATTTCTTCGATAGTTGTTTTAAAAGGTAATAATTGCATTATTCGTCGCCAAGCTTAATTTTGCGATGTACGATTCTTAAAACTTTTGAGTTTCGAATCCCACAAAAATGGCTCTGTTTGCAGAATCTCAAGAAACGTAATAACTTTTTCATTATTCCACTCCATCATAGTCATACGTGCGACCCCGTTGCGCTCACCGTGCACAATGAGACAAACGTAGTTGGCCGTTATTTCGTGCGTTAATCTCTTTGATGTACCGCCACTCAAATTATCGCCAAACGGCATTGTCAATGCCGTTGTCAAATTAACGCGTTAAGTCGTGGCCACGCCTACATTTAACGTCCATCAACGCGATAGGTAACGGTATATCTCGTTAGTGTGGCCCCAGCATAACAAATAAGTTTACCTTAGACCCAACTAGGGACATATACGTATCAAGTAATATCAGCGGTAGTAGGTTAAGGTGCGGTTGCAAACATTTATCTAATTTATAAATTATATATGATAAATCTAAGTTTAACCCACCGCAATAGGCTGCTAGGTGCAGTAGTAGCCGGCTAAACCTAGGTGTATCCGCATTTCGGCTTTTAGCCATAACATATACACCAAACAAACAATATGTTAGTGCTGTATTCTTTAATTTTATACATTTATAACTTTTTTAATTCTTCTACTTTTTAAAATATCCGTATTTTGGTCGATACATTTATAATCTAATTAATATAAAATAATAACAAGCCGCCCGCGCCCCGGATTCGCACTGGTGCAATTTACAAGTGACATCTACTCGTATGTTTAAAAAGCACCATTCAATCGATTTAGTTTGTCGTCGTTTTGGTAATGTTAGTTCATCACTACAAAAAGTGCGCTTTGCATGAAAATATTATATTTATTTTATAACGTTTATGTATTATGAATTTTATTATACTTAATTGTATGGCTTAAATGAGAAACATGAATGAGATCAAAATTGGTGTTCGTTCTTTCTTTGAACTTTGAGCAACAACTGTGTAATGCCGGTTTTTATGTGTAGACAATGAAGGAGGCCGCGGCAGTGGTGTGCCAGCCAACCGTTTCGATGTGTGATATTTTATAGGTTGAGCATGATTTTCATTCTGTAATGGATTGTAAAGTTTTTGACTTACATTAAATGCCTAAGGTAACTGTTTAATTTTTCTCCATACAAATTTGAACACCATATTGCCCCCCCCCCCCCTCCTTAAGGGGTTGTTTTGAAAAACCTATTTTAACCTATTTCAAACCCTTAGGGGTTGAATTTTTTTATTTATCAGGAAGATAAAAAAATGTAAGTAACTTAATTTGATATGATTCTTTAAAATGTAGCGTGATGAACGTGTAATTTCAATAGACCGAATTAAAAGAGCCAACCCAAAGTCATTCTATTCTTAATTTTAATTAAAAATACTTGCAGGCTTATACGAAATACGGCTAAAGTATTTTTAGGCAACCCCGCAAAAATGTATGAAACTACTACTTACTACTGTTCATTAAAATTGTATTTTCATTAGAACATAAATGAGCGTAATAATTACGAGGTGGGAGCTCAAATAAAGTCGCGAATCCACAGAAATTTTTTTCAACTCATCAAAAAATCACACCGAATTAAAGCAAGTCGCCAACCATTTGAGAAATATAATGAATATGGACAAATCAGAAACTTTTTCATATCACTGACTCTGATTTTGAATGGTCTTTCATTTTCTTTCTCTCCCTGAAAAACTGTGCCGTCGATTTTTTTTATTTTCCTTTGAATTTCTAGTTTGTTTAGCCCCATAGCATCCTCGTTATATTTTTTATGCATCTTTTTTTATAGGTTTCATTACTCACATCCCATAATATAATTTGTGAATGATTTAAATTAATTAATATCGATTAACTCATTCCTCCACGTGACAGACATGTTGCCAACTAATGTTCCCAACAAGTGTCTCCACATAACGAATAAATAAATGTTTGAAACAAGCATATTCCTTTGATGTTACTGCCAAAAATGGAAACACTGTTACCGACATTTGTTTACATATTTTGTTGCCAACACTAGGTAATTACAGCAGCTTTTGTCACCAACAAGTATTGAGAACACAAAAGTTGGCATTTAACATTTTACTAAAATCCATTACTAAATACCAAAATGAAATCCTAATGATATCAGCTCCGCTCCATACTCTTAAACAGTATCATGAGTATGGGTAATCAAAACTTATCAAGCTGTTACATTCTTAAAAAGGCCTTTATCTAGTAGTTAAATAAAATTTATGAGAAAGAATTTTGTACGTGCATTCTTACCAATTCTTGATCCTGTTGGTTCTTAATGTGTTGCTGGATGGCGTGGTGCTGCCGCTGGAGCGCCTGTTGTTGCAGCTGTTGCAGCTGTTGTTGCTGCAACTGCTGCAACTGTTGTTGTTGCAGCTGCTGCAACTGTTGCTGTTGCTGTTGTTGCTGCTGCTGATGAATTATCTGCTGTTGTATCTGTCGATTTACACAAATCTCACGCTATATTTCACCAAACCTAAAAATTGTAAGTGGGAATGAGCAAACTTCTTCAAATAGCAACCTCTTCTATAATTTTGCAGGTTGCATCATCCGATTGTTAGGTGTCTGATAGATGAGGCTATTATGACGGCCAACTGGTAGCAGAAAATCCATTGAATAAGATCAAACACAAATGGTCTAGTGATGGGATTGGCTATGGCTATACAGCGGTATCCAATTTACACTGACTTAGACACCAAACCGAGAACAATATTCTCATATTGGCAAATAATCCATGAAAATGCAAGACAGTAGGAACATTCTTTGAAAAGCTTATATTCAGCTACAGACTTCAAAGAGCTGATGATGATAATGATAAAGAAAAGTGTAGAATGGGAGAAATTTTTGTTGTGCTATTTCAGCATAATGCTATATGAATTCTTTATTCCATGCCAAAATTAGTAAAGCAGAATAAACAGGGAATGTAGATTCACATTTTATACTAAAGGATCTTACCAAATAAGAGGTGTAATAGTAAATGCATTCTTACATTTTTTACTATTACACCTAAAACACCAGAGAATTATTAAATATTTATTTAATTTAATTTTACAGCCTTTAAAAAGCTGTTTGCTTGCATCATCAACAATCAAAATAAATGGGATTGAACCCTGTTCAAACCATGGTGGAAAAATTTAATTAACATGTGCTGAATTATCAGGTACTTGATGGGTAAAGAAAATATTGTGACTAAACTTGTATGTCCTTGAAATAAATAACTGTAATAATAACATATTACTTATTACAATACAAAATTGTTACAATGAGTTAATGTTACATTTAAAGAAACAACATGACAATTTGGAGAAGGATGTCTTATTTAATCTAATTCAGAATTTAATTAAAGTTCCATGTAAAGCTAACTTTTAATGGCCAAAGCTTTCTTAGGCTAGGTTAGATTTTTTAATTCGTATTTATTTTTAATGCAATAACAATATGTGCAAGGTGTACATTCAAAATTCATAGCAGATGTCTGGGACAGAAGGACAGATTGAAACTAAAGGGTTTCTTGACACAACAGAACCTTAAAAAGTATTTAAGATTTCATTATGATTATTCTGATATCATTGATTAATACTGTGATATTTTAAATATATATATATATATATATATATATATATATATAGATAATATATAATAAATTATATATATATAATATATTATATTATATATATATATATATAATATAATATTAAATACATTTATTATAAGAATAATACGCCATACACCATCAAATATAGTCTAAAATTAAATAACCACACACTTTTTTTTACATTGGGTGTAAAATTTACCTGTAACTTATCATCTTCATCTTTTTGGTTTCTGTAACGATACTCTTCAGCTTGAGGCTGACTTTCTGGTTCCGTTTTAGGCTGTTTTAGTTCAGGTCTCCTATATGTATTATTTTGTTTATCTAATGCTAAAAGTGTGTTTGCTGCTTCGTATTTGTCCTCAAATGTTATACCCGCTTTCTCTGCAAGGGTCTCTAAACATTGAAGTGGTCTCTTAGTAGGTTTTGACTGACCTTTAGATTTATCAGCTTGCCCACTCCCTGGAGATTGTTTTGGCACTGTCCTAGTAATTGTTATGCTATTTTTGTTACATTCATCTTTCTTGTCATTCTTGGGCTCTAATGTAAAATAATTTTTAGGATAATTATTGTCTTTATCTTTTTCACCGTTGTGATTGCCGTTTTCAATCAATGTTATAGTAGTGGAATTAGCAACTTTTATTGTCTTATCTTTGGAGTCTTCTTTTGATTGGACGGGTGAGCCCGAGCCATGTGAAGGAGACAGGATCTGAGTAGGAACATGCTGTGTCACCGGTACATTGACATTCTGCACTTCTGAACTGTGTAATTGTTTGTCTGCCTTTGACAATTGTTGCTGTTGAAAATTAGGACTCTGTGGCTGCTCCTTTTCTTGTTCTTTTTTCTTTATATTATCTAGGATTTCAGACCTGTAATAGAATAATAATTTACTTTTAAACAAAGAAAAACCATGAGAATGCGTTTAAAAATAGTTTTGAACTGACATTGTTGATTACATCGGCCATAATTTAAATATTTGTTACTGGAACATTTATACCTGCCAATATCTGCCATTAGTTAGCTTTTTATTGATAGGTTTTAATTGGCAAAAAACACTACTTTTAAATGTTTTTCCATTTTTTACATTACATATATGACAATGAATTAGATAGTTGTCTGAAAACAATATCTTTAGAAAAAAGCAACAATTAATAAATTACTTTTGCAAAGCTATGAGTACGTTCGTTTCACTTTCAAGTTTTCAACTAGTAACTGTCAGTGTCAATGTCAAATAATGACATGTTATGACTGTTTGAAAACATTCCTTTAGCACTAAACTCACGTAAAAAGCATTATATTTATAAAGTTATCACTAAAACATGTAAATATAATAAGTCAATTAAAACATTCATTATAACGTTTTTGAGTAAATATTGATAAAGATAATTATTTTAAGTTATTTATTATTACACAGTAACTTTGGTACACTATTAGTAACTTCGTTAAAAGAAACAAACGTAATTTTAGTGATGTACTTTGTATTTTTGGATAAGATTACAGAAAATATCTATGACCATAATTACTTTTCATAAAAATCAATAAGAAAGGAAGTGAAAACTAACATCGTTTTAAATTAAAGAAAGCTCTGTTGAATATTCAAAATATTATACCCAAGAGGTGTGAGAAGAGAAAATTTTATTAGGAAATATAAACCAAAAAATTATTCACGCTATAGGTATATTTTTTTATTTATTATACTTTAGGCAATGCTGTTAATTATTATTATAAAATAGCATTAGTTACAACATTCCATGACCATTTTTTGTTTCTTGAACACTTACCATTTCCTCTACTTAAATAATAAGGTTAAACACCTATTTAGGCACAGATACCTAAACAAAAACGGCCTGTCTGGCATTATTTCACAAGGGGGAAGCAAAAAAATAATGAAAACGTGCGAGTAAGAGGGCATAATGCGAACACGTGTGGCAAAGAAAGAGAGTGTCGAAGCGCACTAGGGGAGTTAGAGAGCAAACCGGTTCTGCATGTGTGCAGACAGTTGGCGCCCTCCCTCCCCACGCCTGCCGACCCTCGGGTACGAGGGCCTCACATTGTCGGCTTTTCCCCGAAGCGATGCAATAATAATACTAACCAGCTCCCCCTTATTAAACGCATAACAAAGCTCCTAGGTACGTGCTTTGTACATTAAGGGTAACAAACTGTGCAGTTTTTTTAATCTAGCTGGTATAACATAGAAATAATATGCATATATCTAATATAATGTAACATGGTATAATATATCAGTATCTTTTCGCAAATACTCCTTATAAGAGTCGATACCGAACTTGATTTGCCAATGTAGGCGCAAATGAACGGTCGCGATCCATAACGATGACGAGTAAGTACTCAGCCCACCTTCTATAGCCACACGCGATGCACTCAACCACACTAATTCGCAACCTTAAAGTAAAAAATAACATAAAATACCTTTTGGTGTAAAAACCATAAGAACAACGTTCCATCGTTTCAAAATAAAGGGTTAACTGAAACGTAAGCGCCGACCCATGCGGCAATGATTAAAAGAAAAAACAAACAAAAAAGTAAGGATTGAGACATTCGCACGGGGAAAGTAACCACAACACTTATTATCGACGAAAACGACATACAAACACACTTTATCGATAGTCCGGTGCCCGTCTCATTGTATCAATAACCTTCTTTTCGAGTGGCGAAACACGACTGCACGGTGAGCGAGCGCTACCTCCGTCGCGCCGCACCCATGCCCGTCACCCCCCGCATTATAACGCTCTCTATCGTCCGTCGCCAATGGTACGCCCGCTGAGAACTCGGCATTCTCATTGGCGGATTCGTTTATGACCGTTCCACTAACAAAACCGGTTTGCCAAGAACGGCACGTAAGGGCGCGAGGGACGAAATTAGCGTTTCTGCATTATTATTATTATTACTTTCGTCCTATCTCTCTCTTACTTATGATTATTAGTGAGACAGAATTTCTAAAATATTAGCTTGTCGCACCGTTCCTAAAAAAAGGTATGTTATACACAGATGTCTGTAGTTTTCGTATAAATAAAGTAAAAGTTCTTGTACTATTATTTATTCTGTGGTAAAAGTATTTACAATTCGTCACAAACGATGGAAGTTGTTCCAATGAAAAAATGTGCTTTTATTTTAAACTAATCAAAGCAATCAAACGAAACAAATTCTTTATGATTTAAAAAAATATTAAAAAGCCGAAGTGGGTACCTATATATACTATTTTAATTTTATAAATGATTGTTCTCTAAACGGGTATTTTTATTATTGCACAGTTCTAGGGTCTCCCTATACAACCCCAACGGCTTCCTTATCCACCCTTATAATCCGACACTATTGGCATTAGGGTGGAAGTTACTCTTCCCAATAATAGCATGACTACCTACAGTGTACCTACCTATATACCAGATCTTACTATTTTATTACATTAGATCTAGATAGATACTGCTTATTGCTCAAGTGAGTTTCTCATTTAAAATTTAGTTCATCATTTACCTATGTTTTGAAATATATCAAAAATTTCGAATTCAATTTGCGAACTTCCAAACATTAAATTAGGTAATATCTAATGTCGAGAATTGTTATTTATAATATGTAATATTTAACAAGAAAGTTGCTGAAAGAAAAAATGTATCTACCTATATCATTGATTTAATATGTAAGTTATGATCTATACACTTTTAACTATTGGGTATTGGACATGAAACCAACAAAAAATAAATAATTTCTAGTTGTCGAACTGTACTAACAGTAAGTACCTAATAATAAAAATCAATATTATTGTTGATTATGCAAGTTGTGCAAGTTGTTTTTATTAATTATCATCATTATGTTCAAAATAAATGCATATTTAGTTGCTTAATGGCTTAGTAGGATGAAGAGTAACTTTATTTCATTAAATTCTAAATAGATGAGGATTAAAAAAGCATTAAATAAGCGCCATCTATCAGTACGACCAAATACAACTACTCTTGGTTACTTAAATACGCCATCTATAGACTCCCTTACAAAACTCAACTGATAACGTAATGTATGTGTCGAAGTATCGAATGAGTGTTCTTAGAGTAGTATAATATATTATATCTTGTTTAAAGTATATGTTATACTTATATATATTATAAAAAGTAAATACCACACTTAACCCATATTAAAGAAATACTAAAATTTTTAAAAGCCTTTGTAACAGTTTGGTTGCAAGCTAATTTAGAACTTTATAATATCGGCAATATGGTTATTTTTTCACTACGACACATTCACTCTTATAACTAAATGTGGTTTATTGATAGTCTTTTTGTCACAAAAGAAGTCCCTTTGTAAAGTCCTTTTGGAACGATGGCTGTCCCGCTCACTATGTTGTTAAGAGTACGAGAGCATCCGTATCCAAATAAATAGATTGGGCGTTAAGGTCCAATATTGTGGCCACCGCGCTCGCCAAACCTAAATCCCATGGATTTCTTTTAACGATGGCTGTCCCGCTCACTATGTTGTTAGAGTAAGAGAGCACCTTAATATTAATACAGCGTATCGAAATAGGTGGATTTGGCGTTTAGGTTCAATGTTGCAGCCACCGCGCTCACCAGACCTATATCCCCTGGATTTTAGGGTTCCGTACCTCAAAAGGAAAAAACGGAACCCTTATAGGATCACTTTGTTGTCCGTCTGTCTGTCTGCCAAAACCCTTTTTCTCAGGAACGCGTGGAGGTATCAAGTTGAAATTCATATCAAATACTCAAGTCTACTGTCCCTTGAAGCTGTGAAAATATCAAACTTCTAAGCCAATACAATCAAAAGATACAGCCGTTTATGCCGCAAATTTTCGACATTCGCAAGGGAATCAAAACCTACAGGGTACTTCCCGTGAACTCAGAATCTTGAAATTTAGTACGAAGCAACGTATTATAGCACAGATAAAGGAAAAATTGCGAAAAGCATAAATTTTTAATTACATCATATAATAAAAATATTTTTAATAATTTCAAACCTACGGATTTGTTCGGAACCCTCGGTGCGCGAGTCCGACTCGCACTTGGCCGGTTTTTATTTTTATGGGGGTTGTCAGAAAGAAAGTCTACTGGTAGTGGTAGTAGTCTTGATTGATAGACTCTTGACCACGGCTCGGTGTTCTCAAAATTTGACATTACCTACTATCATATTCCATAACTAGCTTTTCCCCGCGACTTCGCCCGTGTTTTATTTGGGGTTTTAATTTTTTTGCGCCGTACCCTAAATCTTTTTCTAAAATAAAAGTAGCCTAAGTTACTCCTTGTGACATCAGCTATCTGCCAGAGAAAATCCCGTCAAAATCGGTCCAGCCGTTTCGGAGATTAGCCGGAACAAACAGACAGACAGACGGACATACAGACAGACAGAGAGACAAAAACTTTAAAAATTATATTTTTGTTATTAGTATCGTAAATACTTTCATATGCATTTAGTAAAAAGCTGTAATTTTGACATTACAAACAGACTTCAATTTTATTAATTTGTATAGATTCACTTTACTTTATATTTATTTATTTTATTTTTAAACTAGCTGTTTCCTGCGACTTCGCCCGCGTATAATTTAGGGTTTTAATTATGTTGCGGAACCCTAATTCTTTTTCTAAAATATAAGTAGCCTAAGTTACTGGGATTGAGAATCTAAGATTAGTTAGTTAGGAAGATAAGAATATCGTTGTCGACTGTGTAAAAAGCAAGCACTACTACAGTAAGATTATGCTCTACCATTGCCCTTTTACTGGAAAAAAGGCATTCCATCTTAGTCCTCACGGGTGACAACGCATCTGCATTTTGATTCGCAAATGAGAATATATGTAGATGTCTATGGGCCACAGCAACCACTTACCATCAGGTAGACGTTTGTCAACCTTATACTATTAAAAAAAAAACTTTCCTAATGGCATTAATGACTTTTATAACGGCAGCGGTATTACAGCGACCTGAGCGAAAGCCGAACTGATATTTATTTAGTTTCCTTATATATTACTATACTCTTTGGTTATGTTTTGTAATGAATATAGAGATTTGCTTGTGAACACAGGCTTCTAGAACTTTAGATAGGTAGGGTAAAATCGAAATTGATCATAAATGGGTCGGTCTTGACGGAGTAGGAATTTTAGGAACTTGTTGCACGAATGTGCAACCACTTCCTAAATTTTTTTCGATTCCCAAAATTTCTTCCACTCTTACATTCATGTTCGCATAATTTCTATTTTCCACTGGATTTCTTTATTACATGAGACAAGATCAGAATTTATGTTAAGTTTTCCCTACCTTTCATAAGAATCAAACAATTCTAAGAGCAATCGCCATAACTATTACTGTTTTTGTGAGAACGATTTGAAGCAATAATTAAGTACCTAATTAGTTCACCACGCTTCAGTGTGATATATCGTTGTAATACATATACATATATACTCAGGCATGCAGGTTAGGTACCACTCGATGTTTTTCTTCACCGCCGCGCACTTGACATTTCATGTAGGTGCAAAGTGTAAATAACAACCTATTCAAATAGTCTTCTACCTTATAAATATTTTATAATGTCTTCTTGGAGAAATAATGGAGTAATAGATATTGTAGTATTCACGTGATTATAAGAAATCATTAATTTTAGACATTTTATACCTACGTTAAATGTTGCTGCTACTTGTAGCTATGACGTACTTTGAAATGAATTTGAAACCCACAGCAATATCTAATAATTGAAAAAAAAAACGGAGTAGTAACAAATTAAGAAACTTTTTATAATAATTTACTACCCAGAGGAGTAGGCAGAGACTACGGACTTCCATTTGGCATGATCATAAAACAAATCTCTCGCTCCTTTACATCTAAACATTATGTAGGCACGCATACAAACATGGTCGTGGGTTAGTTTTGTTAAATAGAATAAGCAGTCAGATAAGCATATAGTTCACCTCATTGTTAGTTGACGCTGTGATTTTTAGCTAGGAACTCTCACATTTTATGAATTCTCACACTTTTCTTTTATGACACAATATCTCATTAAATCGTAGCTACTTCTTAATGACCGCATATCTACAGCATTATTTTTTTATGTTTACTCTGCCTCTCATAACTTTCACAACCACACATTAAGGGACTAACAGCATTGTGATTTGACATACGAGTATTTATTGATGTATTTTGACTCCCCACAGTCACACAGTCACGCTTCATTCTATACTATATCCTTGTCATGTCTACCATCCCTGCTAAAAACACGTCCACAGTCCACACAAACTCATCTACTTACTCAACCAAATTATTTTAACAATTCCAATGCGTTTATAGTAATTTAAGTATATCAATTGTTAAATAAATAAAAAAGAACATTATTTTTGTATAAACTGTAGGTATACTCGACTAGTATAACTGTGTACTCTTACGGCAACACCGTTCTTATAAATTAGTGGATTCCGTAAAAGTTATAAGAAAATTATCAATTTATCTATTTGATCAACAG